GTCAAACTCAATATTTACTTAACCGATGCAAATAACACTGCACTCTTTATGATTCCAAAGAGACTCGTATATCCCATGTTTCACTGTGGAAACATTCAATATTTCACTTTCGGGACGCTGCAAAATTTCCTCATATAAATTCATTTGTTCATACGTGTGCAGTTGCAAATTTCAAACATATACGACACCCGTTCAGAATAAGATTTAAATTTTATTCTCTTGAGCGCTGTGGCAAAGGTATCCCCGGCCATTGTCAGAGGTAATAGACTCAAAATGATACGAGACAGCCATCCAATTCACATTCTATTTATTATACATATAAATGCGCCTCATGTACGAAGTTCAGTGAGATTTTCTTTGCATACATGCATCGCCACCAATTCGTTTCAATGCGATGGTTGTGTGGTTGGTTTTCCCTCTGCTGTATTGTAATTGTATGTACCATTTGCACGTATCAAATATGCACTTGATTTCATTTTCTTTAAAATCATACGCCACCAGAGGAAAATAAATGAAATTTTGATAAATATCTCAAATGAATTTCATGTGTACACATACGGCACTGACGGTTATTTCTTCTTTCGGATTGTCTTTTCCCTTTTGATTTACAGATAAGCAGATGATTCCTTGTTATTTGGTCGCTATAAGTTCCTACTTTTTTTTATCGTTGCAGGCATTTCTAAAGAGGAAAAAAACATGCATTCAAATGAGAAAAATCACAAAATACAGGCGAAAGAACCAGACTAGTCGATCTACTCGTCCGATTTCCATATTCACGCATTTATTTTTACAGATTCCATTTGGGAGTTTCCATTCGATGATATTGTGGCACTTCGTAAACGTATACTGAATGTATCCTGAGTGCTATCTATCCGGTATACCTTCAGTATACGTAACACGAGTTGACACCAGCTTCAGATGATCATCACTCGCAGCAGACTCATTAATCACCAGCAGACCAAAGGCTTATATTATCTTAATAATATCATTCTCAAGGCTCATAACTCTTTTTTCGAAATGCAAACAAAAACAAAAACAAATAAAATAAAGAAGTTTAGCAAAATCAATAAATAAATTCATACAAAAGTTTTATGCAAACTTTTAGAACAAAGTATTTTTTATTTCAAGATCTAATAGTAATAAATTAAACTTAAAAATAAATATTCAATAAATAAGATGAGAAGAATGTGGGGTTTTTGAAGGTTCTTTTCGCGAAAAGTTGAAGAAATGGGAAAATCTCGTTATAAAAAGGTCTTTTCATGCTCTTATAAGAATAACAATGGTAAATTTGGATGAAACTAGAAAAAAAGCTTTGGCTTCTCCATTTGTTGAAGACCTATTGTGGAACCATACATGGCTATAACCAAATGCACATGCATCGCAGTTCAACGTACTGCCGAAAAGCTGCACTGTACTTTGTACTCGGTTCGTATGAAAAGACTGAACAACAACGTATATTCGTATCACGGATGACGGGTGATGCGGACGCCTGGTTATTGTTTACAGGACCAAAGGGAAAAAAGTTCATATTGCATAAAATTTCACTTGAAAACAACATGAATAGAAATAATTAAGCGTAAAATGAGATTTGATTTGCATAAAATGAAAACAAAAATCCATAATGAGAGAGATAATAAAAACAAAATCACGTCTGCTGAGGTGCTTGGAGCATTTTTAAGATGTTTAATTCATTCGATGGAGAGAGAGGAAAAAGAATCACCAATCTGAATTTAAACTATTGCCTTAATGTTCGGTTATATCGCATTTTAATATATCGCACAGAAAAATCTCTATATGCAGTCTATCAAAGAGTCGTGTTAACAACGTAACTTGCATACCAAATAGCAAGCGAAAAATGCTGAATAACCCAATAAACATTTTCTTAATGGTGTCTGCACTACTCTGTCTGATTTTATGATTCGTGTGACTTTAGTGCACATTGAGTCATTTTGACGTGCAATTTATTTGCGTTTTGACAGCATTTATGGCGGCTCTCTTTGTGTTGTTTTTTGTCTTTCTTCCGAAGATTCGTGTATTTCCTTCGAAAATCGTTCGGGAAATGTTTCTAGGTTACAGGTACAGTCCATTCATAACAACGAATCATATGCATCAAATATTGTAAATATGCAACCAAATATTTATATCAAATAAACCACCTCTGGCGAAGAAACGCTGTATGATAATAAAAAACGCAGAATAATAATTAAAAAAAAACAAATGTAGGTATTTCTAAAGTGAGTAATTTCTAGGAATTTTAACTGACAAATCACTTTTATTTTTTATTGCCACATGGAATCCGTAGTAAGATCAAATAAAACGCAAAGTACACAAATTAAATGTCATATGATAATTGAAAAATAAAAACGGAAAAAAATGCCGAGAGAGATATAGGTTAATCTTCGGTTCAATTTCTTTGCACTCGATTTGTTCGGTACTGCAAACAAAAAATCGCATATAGACGACGTGCGATTAAATTTATCATATCGCAAGTGAGTTATGTACATACATATTTTGTTTTGTTATCATTAGTCTCATGTGGTTTCATTGCGTTTACGAAAATTGTGCTCGTCTTTCGGCAGAACAACATTATTTCCATGTGAATGAACGCTCATCAAATTCGGCTGTCGCAAAGAAACAGCTGAGAAGGATGGGTAATTATTCATGTACCGACAATGGTAAACAACAGCATGCGTTGAAGTGACATAAATGTGATGCACCTTGTCAATCAACGCTTCGTACGGCTGGTAGAAGCAGTTTGCTTTTGAATTGTATTTACAATATTATGACTTTGTTTTAAAATGATGGTCAAGGTGGTTTTTATTCTGAAATTCAATGAATTACCAATTAAAAACTACTTAAACCCATGAATTAAATGAGTTTGCTACCTTAAAATGTAGTTTTTTATCGATAGTTTCTAATTGCTTCATTCTTGTCGAACGGATTTTTAGCTAAAAAGAATTCTGAAAAAAACAGTTAGTTTTATTCCTCTGTCGTAATCTAGAAATTTATCGGTTCGAAATTCTCGGAGTACATGTATTTGTGGATAATGGATTTTAACGATGCAAAAAATGAACTGCGTCAACAACAGGGCCATATTAAGTATCGATTGCTGTAAATCATTGAATTGAGTGCGATTTCCAACTGATATCAGTTGGTGCAGTGCCGAAAATATTGCCTAATCGAAGTCGTAAACTGAATTGAAAATTTTTCTGTTGGCTTTCGGCACTTAAAAATCGAAATGGAAATGCCGCTTATGGAATGTAAAGCGTGTATATGTGTCGTAAGATGAGAAAACACAGAAATGTGGCTTCGTGACAGCAAAATATAACGTAATCCCAAGGAAATTTATTGGTTAAGAGCTTATCGCGCGCTTTCGAAATGAGACAAGAGAAAATAAGAGAATAAAATATGTAGGTTTGAAATCGTTCGATGGCTTTTGTGTTTTAGTTTAAATTACGCGAAACAAACCAGTATAACAAACAAGCTGATTTGGGCGTGGCAATAGCATCAGTGCCAACGGAGAGCACGAAAGAAAAACACAGAGTAGGGAAAATCGCAATTTGCGAAAAAGCAAGTGGGAAAGAAATTAGCAAAAATAGCAGCATTTTTATGTTAAAGAACAAACAGTGGTCTTGCTGGCAACCAACGAACGAACATCGAAAACAGAAAAATCCAAAAGGGAAAACAACAATTTATTTAAAAAGTTTTTTTTATTGCACATTTTAGCAAGTGAAACAAGTGAGCATCTGCATGACTCTGTCTGAGGCGATGAAATGCGAATGGCGTGAGAGAGTGACGAACACAGAAAAAAATCAATAAATTCGAAAAATTCCATCGGTTTGCGTTCGCAACGAGAATATGGTATTCATGATCCCTTTTGTATTTCCTACACATTTCCATTTTTTTATATACATCCATCGATACTAAGCCCAGATTCGGTTCGAGACACACAATTTTTCGGCTCTAGAATGGTTTGTAATTTTATCTCTTAAAGAGAAAAAAAAGATAGACCGAACAAGTAATGCGCTTATAAACAACTATAGCAGCAACAGCAACAAAAAGAGCGCTACACAGACCTTTAAAAAAATGAATAAAACGAAGAGATTACTTTCTTCTCTTTGTTTTGAGCCTAACACACATTGAAGTAATGCGTCGAATGTTGAAAATATTTGTACAATGATTTTTGAGATGAATAGAACAAGCACCGAGAATAGAGAAATTGGATGAGAGAAGGCCCGAGACGAACGAATACGTTTCAATGGTTGCTATGGTGACTGGCATTTGGCAACCATACTTTTACAACCATGCCTCCGTTCGACGGAGTATTTTATCTGCGCTCGCTTCCATAGCAGAGCGGCAGCCATTTGTTAAACGGGCAACAAGCACCAATACATACGTCCACTCCCGCTTTACTCTACACTCCGTACACTCTCTCGCGTCGATTTGCTTTGCTCTGTTTTGTTCTGTTCTGTTCGTTTCGTTCGATTAAATTGTAATAAGAAACAAACAAAAAAACGAGAGTTTGAATAGACGAGAGTCGAAACTATTTTTGCATTTACACGTGTTAGGGCATTTTCTCTTTTTCAATTTTATGGCACTCGGAGTCTTCTCACGTGTCGAAATATTAGAAAATGTATAAATAATTCGCAATAAGATTCTTTAGAGCCATTTGTCTGGGATGTTTTTCCGGTGAAACGAACAATAACCGCAACAACAAAAACAACACGGAAAGCACAATTCCAACGATGCTAAGTATCTGTCTGACACACAGCCCATTCATTTCATGGTGTTTCGCGTACACTTTACATAACATGATATTACGTTTGGGAAAATGTTTCTATCATTCATTCCTCTCCGGTACATGATTACGGTTCATTTGAAAGCGAACAAACAAGTACAACTTTTTCCAGTGAATTTTTTTTTGAAGCGGCGGCGAGGCATTCCAAAACATTGAGACATCGATTACACTGCTCTCTCTTTTTGTTCAAAATAATATCATCTTACCTTCGTTTTTCTGGTGCTATTTCTTTCTCCTCTGCACAGGTTCCATTTCGCTGAATGACCGATTTCAACCTTTACCTTGCTTATCAAACGTGGCAACCATCTGAAATTGTGTAGAAAGAAAGCATAAAAGAAAAATAATGTTAATTATTCTGTAATAAGAATGTTCCTCTCAAAACTTGAAGAAAGACAAGCGATATATTTCTCTCGCTCTGTCGTATTTTACCCGCATCTTGCGGGCTGGTTTGTTTATATTGGTTTGCCGAAGGCTTTATATCGTCCTAATGTAAATCGTAAACTTAAAATTTATGTGCACTTATGTTAAAAATATCAACAGCACGTACAGAATTCTCTCTCACGCGCGCTTCTGAGTATATACAGAGAAGAAAGAATTTACTGTACGCTCAGAAAAGAAAACGGAATATTTGAAACGAGAGAAAGAATCGATTAAACCAGAAAAGAAAATACAAAATTATTCGAAAAGTTTATGCACGAAATTTTTGATTCGCTGGCAGCATTTCCATTATGTTTTTTTTGTAACAATGTTTAACTTGCCACTCAATTCCATTTTTTACGACTTTGCATTTGGTTGTTGACCAATCGAGTCAAGCTGATACTTGAAACGGATTTTGGTGTTGTTGCTGGTGTCTTTTTCTTTCATGTAAAACTATTACTCGAACGATGAGAATTGAGTCGGGTCGTTGCCAATCGATGATACCAAGAATTTCATATCGAACTACGCCTCACTGTAATCTTCTCCTTCCAAACATGAGCCGCAGAAATATGATCATAAAATTTTAAATCAATTAAATGTGTCAAAAATGAAGGCAATATTTCAAGCACTTGAGAGACTTCTTTATCAAATTTCATTTGAAAATTGAACAAGAGTGGTATTTAGCTGGTTTGTGGCAAAATTTAAAAAAGCATGGCTTTCATCACTGTCAGACGGCTACGGATAGGGTATTTGGATGGAAATCATGAAACCCATATCTATCTACGGAATTGTTTTTAACAAAACGCCATGCGTCTTCTTGACAATGAAATTCATCTGTTTTGAATCTAATTTCAGCAGTTAGACTGAGTTAAATTATATAATGTTTGTTAGATGTCCAATGTGTGGTTTTCTGGCTATTTCAGCGAAATGAAACTACATAGGCCGCAAACATGTAGGCCGCACAGTGTCTGTCGTATTTACTTCGTCGTAAAGCCACATTAATTCAAAAACTTTTAGCCTGTTGTTGAAATGGATAATTTTATTACTCTTGAACCTGAAGTTGATTTATGTTTATTTTCCAAAATGGAGCATGTCTGCTTTGTTTTATTCGCATTGCGTATCGCTAGAAGCTATTCAATAATAATAAATGTTGACAAAAGCGAGCGTGAACAGCCATTTATGAAATTAAAATTATAGCTGGCTTGCATATTGATTTGATTATAGCTGCTCCCTACAACCAAAATTGTTTGTTATGTCGAGTACTTTTTTGGTTGGTTCTATCGTCGTTGGTAGTTTAAATGACACTATCGAAGCAATTCAAACCATTTGTCGTTTCATGCATAAACTGAAATGTATACGTGTTTTTTAGTTTTGGAACTAGCTTCCGTGCTGTTCGATCAAGTTTTGTTGTTGGATCAATACCAAACGCATGGAAAAGGTGTGAAAAAAAATACAAAAATACGTAACATTACAACAATCAATCGCAGCAGGAAGCTCAACAAACAAAAGAGTCAAGAAATTGGCTAAACCCTTTTGAAGTTGTTTACTTTGGGAACTAGAAATGCAGAAGAGTTCGCTTCTTACCTGAAATATTCATAGAAATGCGAGGAAAAAGGAACCAAAAGTAGACCATAGTTTTCGCTTGAAGCGAAAGGAAAAAGATTTTTACAATTGAAACAAGTGAACATTTTTGTTTGAAAGCACAGCGTCACAGTGAATGGTGACAAAAATCTCAATACTCCTTTCGCCCGTCGTTCTTAGCATTCTGTGTGTCTCCATTTGTCTAGTTGACTTTGTCTATTCTTTCTTTCATCTTTTTATTTGTTTATTTACGTCGAGTAAGTGCGCTATTTAACTCTTCCTTGATTGCACAACGACGCAAAATTCTTCTCGGTACAATTGCGTTTGCAAGGCAATATTTTTTACGATCTTCTACATCACTCTCTAGCAGTCATAAAATGGCAATTGTATTTGCTCGGTGCCTTTTGCTTTCTTTTCGCTTTTGCTCTTTTTGGCACCGTCATAAATTTTACGCTCGGTTCGTTTAGACGTTATCTCTATCCTTTAATTTACATTTTCTTTTACTTTCTCTCTCTCTAACTCTCGGTCTCGCATCCTCTCTGTGACAGTGATACAGGCCTAAAGACAGCGTTGCTTTAAAAAGTGACTTTCTGTTGCCTCGCTGTACTTAGTGCGACGTCATTCGAAAGCCAAGCACAAAATTCCAAACAGCAAAATTACTGGTCGCATATTAATTAAAGTTATATTCTGTTTATTTTTTGTTTCTTCTCCGCTCGACAGAATGTGCTTTTGCTCCCCAAATGCGTATTTTGTATCGACGATTCAGCGTTCAATTGCTTGTCGATCAATCAATCCCACGACTTTCTTTTTTTTTCTTCTGATCGCTGATTCTTAGTTTGTTTATTACATACGTGATAACACTTTCGATTTGGTTACCATTCAGTGAATAATAACAATGTTTTGGAATTGTTTTATTCAAGAATTTCAGAGTTGTAAAAAAAAGAATTTAAGTATTCATAAAACGCACGGGAGGCGTCAATTTCAATTACCGGATTTGTTCAACATTCAGGAAGGAACAAGACCAAATTCATTGAAATATTCAATATAATTTGTGTGTGTTTTTTCTCTCGTTTGCTTTGGGAAATTATTTTTATTTTCACGAGAAGAGTGAAATGGTACACGCAAAGCGTGCCATTGAGAAATTGAATTCGTGCACCATATATATTTTTTGGCGAACAATCCATTCGATTTGCCATTGGTTAGGTGTCATCGTCGTCATCACCGTCATGGTGCTCACTTCGCATGGCCAACCAAATGGAGTAAAGCCAATACACACATAAATTTTCGTGCAAAAATTGGACTTTTGGGAACACTATTTCTCATCAGAGAAACTTTTCAGTCACACATTTTTTGCCGTATCTTCCATACTACAAGCCATTGGCAGATGGTTTGACGCAAAAGCATACACACGTCAAATAGAAATACAAGTTGATTCCATTTTATTTAAGTAGTTCTTTTGCTTCCAACAACTCATTTCACCCACATGAAAATGTGCACACGATTCATCTATAATCGCAATACCGTAAATTGCTCTCTGCTTGCTCTTCTTTTTTTTGTGTCCAAAAATAAATTGCATTTTCCCTTCCATCCATTCCTATTTGCAATGTCGATTTCATGTAATTTTGATGATGGCCTTTATTCGTAATGCCATCGGAAGTGTTCGCATGTTTGATCCTGTCGATTATGGGCGGTGAAATGCAATTTGTTTGTTCAAGTTACTTAATTAAATTGTGATTACATAAACTTCGATCACCATTAGACAGAAATGTATCCGATGTAATAATAAATGAATGTGAAAATGCAACATTTTTTACACATTCAATTTTATTTTTGTTCCAACAAAGTCAATTTCAGTTGTATTCTAGCAAAAAGTAGTGAAACGACATATGTTTAAATGACAAAAGAGTCTACAGAAAAATTTACGCGATTTATCGATATAAAAGCTACGTTGACGTTATTTAAAATTACTTTCTGCACAATAAACCTATTGTGTTCAATCGTGTTTCTCATAGTTTTATAGCACACAGAACCAAATTTTGTTTGAAAAAATTGTGTCTAGTTTGATTTTGAGATGTGCAAATATTCCGTCTTCTTTTTCTGTTGAATGTGCGTGGAATCTTTGATAAAAATGATAATCGAATCGCATTTTTTTCTACGGCAAAAAAAACTTGTGACTTGTTCCACATCCATTTGGAAATGATCCGCTCAGATATTTGATTTCAATGCATAAATTATTGGTTTGTTTTCTCATTTCGTTTCTAAAAAAAATATGTGTATCGTATTCATTTTCTATTCGATTGTGCGGGTAAATAATCCTGCCTTCGGCATAAATTCAAATCTCATGTGTGCCGGGCTCGTACATACGCCATGGATTTGCTGTTCGAATCAAATGGTAAAATTTGTATAAATAGAGAGAAAAACATGTGACGACTGATGACGATGGTTACGTGTGTCACGTTTGAATGCGAAAGGTAAAACCATATACTTGTCTAAAATGGCATTTTCGACGGCAATTCATGTATCGTTCAACGTTCGAGCGTATTTTTGCAATCGAAAATGGGGGGATAAGCCATGCGTAAATTTTCAACCCATGGCACTTATGCATGTGATGTGTTTGACGAGAAAACCAATTTAATGCGAAGAGAGAAAAAAAGGACTAAATGCATTTACGTGACAGCCAAACATATTTTTATTTAAATGTAATGTAATGATGTGTGCGTCTCGGCTTGAATTTCAAAGCGGATCAATTGGAACTTTGAATCATCACACATTTTTTTTCCGTTCGATGAGATTAGTTGGTATGCGAACAAGTTTGATGCGCTTTTTTTTCCTTTCTAGGTGTAAACTTAATCTTTGCTCTTTGGTTTCGGTAAACTATATTGCAACTTTTAGTGTAATTAAGCGGCCTATGGAAAAACTGAACGAGAAACTTGCCTCGAATAAGTGAAAACAGGCAATTTTTGCAATCAGCAGAGACCTTCGTACCTCTCGGCGAGCTTAATCAGAAAAATTGAACAAAATCTCAGTTGATAAAGTGGAATGTTGTGTAACCGAACGAATAACAAAACGTCGATGCCGATACGGTAGAATTTCTCTTACCAACCAAAGCTAATTCCAATAAAAGCAATTTTCTCTCCGACAAAACGCAAATGGACGATGCTGGATAAATACAAAAAATTGACCATCGATTAGGTTCATGTCAATGCATCCGAAGCACATGAACCGGCTCATTCAATTATACTATTCGCTCTGATTTTTTTTCTCATCCGAAATCGTCATTAAATGATCTCATCTTCGTACATAAATTA